TTCCCCCCCCCCCCTCTTTAGGCAGTTCAGCTGAATTGTATTTCCGACCATGTTCATGTATTGTTAAGAAATTATAGTTATACTTTTAATTTTATACTTTTTTGTAATCTATTTTTTTGTTTAGACATATAATTCGTTTTTTTTGTCTTACTTTGGTTTGCCAATGCATTGTTTTAGCTTCCTCCACTCTGTTTCTTCCTCATTCCTCCATCTTGTTTCTCCTAATTCGTCCATCTTGCTTTCTCCCGATTCCTCCATCTTGTTTCTCCCGATTCCTCCATCTAGCTTAGTCCTGATTCCTCCATCTATTTTACTCCTGATTCCCCCATCTAGCTTACTCCTGATTCCTTCATCTTGTTTCTCCTGTTTCCTCTATCTGGTTTTTTTCTGATTCCTTCATCTGGTTTTCTTCTGATTCCTCCATCTTGTTTTCTCCTGATTCCTCTATCTTGTTTTCTCCTGATTCCTTCATCTTGTTTTTCCTGATTCCTATAAAATAAAATATCAATTTTATATTTAATAATTTTCAAAATCTTTAAGTATTTATACATAAAAAAGTATCTATCCTCTATTTATATAAAACAGTAATCTTTGTTTTGGTGTCTATATTTTTTTAAATTTTTTTTTTTTTTATGCCGATCATATTTATTTTTAGATTCAAATTTTTGATTAAGTAAAACCATGTGAATGTTTTTAGCTTGGTGTACATTTTTAAAATAAGTGCTTTGACTTTTAGTGGAATTTCAGTTTCCATACAAACCGGGGTTCCCAAGCTAGTATATATATATTTGTTTTCCCTCTTGACCTATTTGACTAAAATTTTGATTGAAAAACTTGGTAGAATCATGGAAAAAAATATTCTTAGCTCTTTGTTCAATGGATTGTTTAATTGAGTTAGATAGAAAAGATTTAGTTTCCTGGCAAAGGGTTAGCTGAAAAAGCAAAGGTTTGATTTCCGGGCAAAGCCTGGTTTCCAAGCCAGTATGATATGATCAAGGTTATAATGCAAGGAAAGTTATTTCAGAGGTGTACGCATCTTTTGTACTGCAGTGTACTGTCTCTGGCCGGTAATGTAAACACAAGACGGATGTCGAAGCCTGACATGGGATCCATCTTTCACATAAAAAATCAATGAAATATTCTGGTCATAGGAAACTATTATGTGAATTATCAAAATAACCAAAATTAAATGCTTTTAACCTCCTCGGATACTAAACAAACACTGATGCATCTATTCTTGTTTACAAATTCCGTCCAGAGAGAACTGGTTTCAATATGTACGCAGAGTACACATAACTTTCCTTGCATGACAACCTTGGATATGATATACTATATTTATAAAATCTTTTATATGATAAACATGCTTCAAAGCATGCAAGGGAAATTAATGTTGTCAATAAATGGAAATTGATCAATATTGGTGAACATTGAAGATTCTTGTAACATACAGTATATGTCAAGGATTAAAAAATAGACCTTGTAACATTATATTTTTATTAAGCTGTGTTTTTTTTTTTTTTGGGTTTTTTTTCATGATAAAAACCCACTTAAAGGGACTATGGTTGAAATTCCATGTGATCTTCTATTTCAACAGGGGCATACTATTTACAATAATTAAACTGTTATCTCATCAACGATGTGGAAAAGTGTTCAATTATAAAAATGGATGGTCCTGGAGTGTCACTATTCATTCTAAAATATGACGAATTTAGGGACTAATAAAAAATCCAATATTAGAAATCATTTTTCTTGTCCTGGTCTCTAGCATTATAACTAACTATTCCCTGTCATATTCAACTAGCTCTCGTCAATCTGTCAAAAACAATAGAGCCTGATGAAAATAATAACGCCATTGCTCAAGCTAACTTTTATTAAATAAGGATTTCAAAAAAAATTACCTTCGTATCACTAAATTTGAAGTTTACAGGTCAAAAGATAACCGGTAAATGAAACAAAGGGTTGAGATAGCGCCTATTTTCAATGCCGCGTCATGCGCAGACTCTCCGTAATAGTTGTTATCATATGTCAGTTAGGGTGGAACCGAAATAAGATAAAAACTATTTCGCGGAATATTACAGTAAATGAGCGTTGTGACTGGTGGACTTTGAAATATATCTTATTAATTTAGGACAGAAAATGAAAGATTGGGGCTAAAAATCAGAAGTTAGGCTGAAAAATGAATTTTGGAACTTAAAGTAATCTTCTAGTATACAAAATATTACTAGTGGAATTTGAAATATTTCTCTGAGTTTTGGGACATAAAATGAAAGTGTAGGTACTGAAAATGGAAGTTTTGGGATAGAAAATTAAAATGTTGGGACAGAAAAAAAGTTTTTGGACAGAAAATGAGAGTTTCAGGACTAAAAATTGGAATTTGGGACAAAGATATAAACAATTGGGACAGAAAATACAATTTTTTTGGCTGGAAAATGAAATATTTGGGATGGAAAATAAAGTTAACAATCAGCATATAAAGAAAGGACTAGAGGAATTAAAAATATTTGTAAAGGTTATAGGAGAGAAAATGAATTTTTTGGGACAAACAATGGAAGTCTTGTGGATTAAAAATGAATTTTTGAGATAGAAAATGAAATTAATATCCAGCATAATTTTCTGGAGTTTGGGTTGGAAAATGGAATTTTGGGACAAAAAATGAAAATAATGGGACTAAACTTTAAATAAAAATCCAGGTCATGAAAGGAATGACTAGTGGAATTAAATTTTGTTTTTGATTTTAGGACAAATTAGACTGTTGGGAAAGAAAATTATGTTTTTCAGGGACAAAAAATAACTTGGGATGGGACAAATAATCAATTTATGGAATTATATTGACCCCTGGTAAATTTAATCTTCATAAGATAATTATGAAAAATAATGAAATTTGATACTCAAAAACGGGAAAGTGGGTTTTGTCTGAAAACGGAACAATGATTCAAATTCAGGATATGTTCAAAAATGGAAAACCTGACATTGTCTTGAACACTGTTGAGTCAAGAACTTTAATATAAAAGAACTCCTATTATAATTTTGATTTTAAAAAGTTTAAAATTGGGAATTGTTGTTCTCGTAATGTTTAATAAAATGTTGTTTATAGTTTTTATTCTTGACTTTTACTCTGGATATAGGCCGGGATCCCAAAAACCCAGTCTTTCAATTTGTGCCCATTTCTAACACTCAGTGATAGAAATGGGCCAAGTGTTGGTTTTGGAACTAATGTCCCCTGTATTTAGATTTTTTTTTACTGTTGTGGGAATGTAAACCAGTTTCAATAATAACACTTTTTGTTACTTCTGTAGAAATGTAAACCAGTCTCAATAATTACATTTCTTATTACTTTTGTAGTAATGTGAAATATTGTTTCAATAATTACAATTTTTGTTACTTCTGTAGCAATGTATTAGTATTGTTTTGATTTTAAACTTAAATTATGAGGTTTGGGAAAAGAAAGCTGGACTGAAGGAGAATCTTGTCCGATCCAAATTGACTCCGCCTTGTTTTCGAACTTGATCTCTGTATTCTTGAAGCAACTTGAAATCTTTCTTCTTATGAAAGGGTCCTATCAACTGGCATGCTAAAAAAATATATTTGGTATAAAATTAAATTAAATTAAAAATTTGCAGAAATCTTACCTATTTGAAGTCTCAAATCTCCAGCATCATGATGCCTGGCTCCAGCTGGTATCTCAATAGCCACCTTCTGCTTCTCAAACTCCATCAATGGTCGTCAGCTTGGTTCCATTTCCTGAGTGATGTATTCAACCTGAAAAAAGCTATAAATATGAAAATGCACGGGCAATGTAATGGTTACAAAACTTGAAGGAGGTTGTTAACAGATGAGAAATCTGGAGGGTTCTCCCTCTTTTTTTAATGTTTAGTCAAAAAAATTGTCAGCCTTTCTTCTTTTGGTTCTGCAATTTTTAGAAAAACAGTTAATTGGTCACCAGGATCTTGTTTCTGTTTGTAAACGTGTTGACCACAGATGAATATGTCCCGCTTTAGGGTTCCCATGATTTTTTTTTTTTTCGTTGTCTGCTAGATATACATACAAGTTTCAGTGTTTCAAAGTTTGTCTGTAAATACGATATGTTAGTGTCATCTTCCAGATAAAACGAGCCTGTTAATAGTCTAATATGATAGGGGACACCCTGTAGTACAAAGTAAATAGAGCCATTTAAAACGGAGGCTTTTATTTAGCCGAGGTATTTCTATGCTTTTAATAAAATTATGAAACATCATTATTCAAAGAATTCCAATATCGCACCGGATTAGCTGATGAAATTAGCGGATGAAAATTTACTATTAATTAGATATTCAATACATGGTATTTTAGAAACTTTATTGTTCTAAAGTACTAAAAATTTAGATGGAGAAAACTTTTTTTTTACCATAGCTTGCCCAATATTCAATATATTTTAAGTCCGAACAAGAAATTTGAAAAGTTTCAAGGTAGCAATATTTTAACATATTTTAAGAGTAATTTGCTATTTTGAGTGCTAAAATTGCTCACTCTAAAAGCTAATTCCTTAAAAAAAATTGCGGGGGGTGAATCCCTTCTTTTCTCGCAAGTTTCGCTCGGTGCTTCCCCCCACCAGCACAGTTTTTGGGGAGTTTGACCCCCCCCTTTTCATAGAGCTGGATCCCCCCTGAGTAAACTTTGGATATTTCAAACTTAGCTATTTGATCCATAGGGCGTATACAGAATTAAATCTAGGGGGGGGCAAAAAATGTTTGCCCCCCCAGGAGCTCCTAGGGGGGGGGGCAAAATTTGAACTTTAAATTCAAAATATTTGGCTTCTTGACGATCAGGACTACTTTTTTATGGGTTATGTTATTCATTTTACGAAATTGTCTGTTATTGAAAATTTGTATCCATTCTTTTATATTGTAATTTTCCTTTTTGAAATTCTTTACTTTGCCCCCCCCCCCCTAGGAGCTCCTAGGGGGGGGGGCAAAGTTTGAACTGTAAATTCAGAACATTTAGCTTCTTGGATATCAGGTAAAAGTCGCACAAGAAGTATAAGATACTTTAAAGGTACACATACAGTCCAATCAACTTATAATTGCTTACTTAAGTACTACTTCACCTCTCCTTCAAACTAAATTCTGTGAACTTAAAAGAGAAAATTAGGTTACAGCATTGCAATAATATGTATATTTTAGTGGTGGGGGATTCCCCTCAAACTTAAAAACAGCAAATTATTTTTGTCCTGTTCAGTTTAAGATATGACAAGTGTGAAAGCAATTGTTTGAAATATCAAAGCTCTGCTAAGATATAAGTTTTAGCGAATCAGAGTTTCTTGCAAAGACTCATTTCATGTCCACTGTACTGCTTATAATTGAAACAAAATATATTTAAAACAACTGGTTTTGAAATGGAGAACAATGCGGAGTACAACGGGAGAATACTGTTTTGGACTAATCTTTATGGATATTAGATTTATTTCTACATTTTAATCTTTCAATTCTGTTTTTAAGATATTAATAAAAGTTTAAAGAAAAAGAATGTTTAATATATTTGCAACATGCTTCATAGATATTATTTGCAACACTTTTCATGGATATTAGTTGCAGCATGGTTAATAGATATTAGTTCAAGGTTCATAGATACTAGTTGCGACATGTTTCATGTATACATATATTAGTTGCAGTATGCTTCATGGATATTAGTTGCAACATGTTTTATTGATTTTAGTTGCAACGTGCTTAATGGATATTAGTTGAAACATGTTTCATGGATATTAGTTGCAACATGTTTCATGGACATTAGTTTCAGCATGCTTCATGGATATTAGTTTCAACATGTTTCATGGATATTAGTTGCAACATGTTTCATGGATATTAGTTGAATCATGTTTCATGGATATTAGTTGCAACATGTTTTATGAATATTAGATATATTTATTTTTCATTCTAATCATGTAATTCTGTTTTTGTGTTTTTAAAAAAGTTTGAAGAAGAAGAATGTTTAATGTGTAGCGACGAAAGGAATAAGACCAAATGAATAAGACCAAATGAATAGGATCAAATAAACTGACTGAATATATATTTATCAAAAACAGTATTTATAGTAGATGCAGTATATCATAATCTAAACAATAACATGTGAAGTATGGAATATGCTGTGTACTGCATTCCGGGAATCCAGGAGCGCCACAAATTAATATTAGTTGCAGCATGCTTCATGGATTTGTACATAGTTTCTGCATGTTTCATGAATATCTGTTGAACAAGTTCCATTTGAATAAGTTGCAACATGTTTTATCATCCTTTTCTATCTTTCGGTCAACGTGTTTTATGATTGTGGACTTTTTTTACGTATCCTTGCGATATCATGGTTTTGTGAAATAAATAAAAAGTATCTAATTCATACTTCATCAATCATGAATGGACAAAACTTTTAAGGTACTCTTGTGAATCGGGAGGGTAACTGGAAATTACATCTTACCTAACATTTTTTAACTTTGTTTCTTANAGGTTAAACACCCATCCCTGGTACTCCTAGTTGCGCCACAGAGTTTATACAAATATATTTATAAATATTTCTATAAATATCGTAAAGGAAAGCTCTTGTTAATACCTATAGTAGAATGGTTTAAACGTAATGCAAGGGGAAAGCTTAGATTAATATTACAAGGTTGAGAAAGCCCTGTGTATAGTATGTATACCTGGAATACCTGGGAAACCAAATTATTTAAAGAGTTTCAGGTTCGGTTTAGCTCCGGGTACTCATGGATACTGGCAGGACGGAAACTGTAAAGGAGAAAAGATCTTCCAGCAGATCAACTAGAGCAGGGAGAGGGGAGGAGGACAAGAGGAAGAAGAGAGAGAAAAGTGGAGAGGATAAAACTCACGAAGATAAACCAAGAAGGGAGCGGGATAAAGATGCGGAGAAAAAGAAAGAAAAAGAGAAAGAAAAAAGCGTAGATCAAAGAAAAGAAAGAGAAAGTGATAAAAAGAGAAAAACTGATAAAGAGGCTGAAGCTAAAAAGGAAAAGGAGAAGAGGAATGAAAAGGAAAAGAGAGGTGCAAAGAAAGTAGAAAGTGATGCTGAAAGAAGAAAAGGAAAAGCAGAAGAGAAAAAGAAAGCAAGTATAAAAGAATCACCAAAAGCCCGCGAAAGTAAGACAAGTGTACGGAGTAAAACGGGAAAGAAAGATAAGAATGATTTATCCACAAATGACGAGAAAGAAAAGAAATCTAGAATTTCCAGTCGAACAAAAATATCCAACGAGAAACCAGATCTGATTATCGAAGAAAAGTCTGCTCCGGCCATTCTTGAAGAAATGGACGATATTTCCGAAGAGAAGGGCTTAAATTTATCGATGGTGGTTCAGGATGAAACTTCGCAACATTTTCGAGATGAAGAACTCGAAGATTTTGATGCAAACCCTGAAGAAGATTTTGATTATGCAGATGATGATTTTGAGGATTATGACGATGATTTTGAAGATGACAACGAAGACGAAATTGATGACGAAGATGAGGAGGAGGAGGAAGGTCAGGTTGATGAGGAACGACAAGAGAAGAAGATGGATTCTGGTGTATATGACCTAGAAACCAAACAAAAACGAGGATTGAGAATTAAAGAAATGGAAGAGGTGAAGGAAGCGATGAAAAGAGAAAACTCTTCCAAGGTAAACAACAAAAATCTTTGAAAATCTCTCAAGATCAATTTAATTTTTATTCAATCTCTTATGACAAGAAAAGTACTCTTTTTAAAATGTTTATAGAATAATTATATATTCTATCTAATCAGGAATCCTTTAGAAAACTAAGAAAAGGGGTGTGACCAGTTCAATTTAGAGCGTGGGATTTAGAACAGAACCCTTTAACCTGGGCCTGTTCAAGGCAAAGTTAAATACCTTTAATTTGTTAGCTAAAAATTTATACTTTTTTGTGATTTCTCTAAAACTATTCCTCGTAGATTGTTGAATGAGGGACTTTTTCAGAATTGAACAAAAAATCTAAATATTTTCCTAATCTACAACTTACACTTTACTGCTGAATGTACTAGGCCAATTTCAATGGGTTCTTATATCTGAATTAAAGGGTTACCCACAAAGAATGAGACTCCAGGGCCGATTGTGCGGAATTTATACTGTCTGATTTCTTAAAGTCATGATTCCTTGCAACTGTAAACTTGTTTGTTCCCTTGGTTAAATCATTGAATACACGCAAATTGTTGTTTTTTCGCGCAAAATTGATGCGCAAAGAAAGAAAAATATTGCGTTTCGTTCCGCAAAAATTGCGCAAAAGTTTTGCGAATGGAAACCCTATTTGAAACAAGATATTTTTCTTATTTATAATTTTTTGTGTAGGACCAGGGGTGAGGAGCTGCTGAGTATGATTAGGTTGGATGTGGTTAACTTTGATCACTTGGACTTACCTCCTATTAGGTACTTTAGAGACTTTGTAACCTAAACCTACGTCCTGGCAGGTACTTTAGAGACTTATAAAACCTGGTCCTACCTCTTATCAAGTACTTTAGAGACTTATAAAACCTGGATCTACCACCTATCAAGTACTTTAGAGACTTTTAAACCTGGATCTACTACCTATCAGGTACTTTAGGGACTAATAAAACCTGGATCTACCACTCATCAGGTTCTTTATAGAGACTTATAAAACCTGGTCCTACCACCTATAAGGTACTTTAGAGACTGTCAAACCTGGATCTACTACATATCAGGTACTTTAGGTACGCCACCAGGGTGCAAAGACTTAGAGATTAGAAAATTTTATTTTGTGGCAAAAACTCAGTTAATATAAAAACTCAGTAGATATCAAATTAGAACAAACTGATATAATAATAATAATTCAATTTAGAATTTAGGTTCTTCATTTATCCTATTCATTTCTTGTGAACACTTTTCAACTAAACTGACGTTTTTTTTCATTTATTCAGATATGAAGCATTTATGAAAACATTTGGAAAAAATAATTCTTTACAAGCTTTCTCTCAGACTGGGGAGGATAATTTAGAGGTAAGAAGAACAACAAAATGACGTCAATTATAAAAAATTGCAATCTATTGGTTCTGAATTGCCACACGCGTCAGTGAACCCAGGTTGGAATACACGCTGCCGAATATTTGGCTATAATTAAAATAAAAAATAAAATTTTTAAAAAATATTTTCAGGTTGAGGTTCAGACGGAGCATATTATTGAGGAGGAGAAGTGGACTCAGAAGCCTCCGAACCTGACAATAACCTCCGATCTTGAGGACTCAGATCTTATCCGTGAAAACCTTCTAGGGTGTGGGGGAGGGAAACAGGTGAGTTGAGAAAATGGGGGGTTCACGGGGGCAACTCCCCCCCCCCTCACAAGAAAAACATGGGCAGATGTCTGTTATAATAGTAATAATAATAATAATAATAATAATAATAGTTTTCCAAATCAGTTTAAATACTTGTCCAAGTCAGAAAGTCAAATGTGAAGATTCAAAACATATGTTTTTTTTTCTTTCAAAAGATATGTTAAGGGCAAGAAGAGAAGGAGCTGTATTTGAAGACCTTCCACAGAGAGATATTGATTTTGCAGAAAGTATCAGTGTGCTGAAAATACAAGAGGTATATTGCTTTTAGATAAACGAAGTGATTACTTGACCCAATTCCATATATTTTGTGCAACCTGATGGTGTAAACTTTTGATATTTTAAACCTGGGCCTATTTGATCTAGAAGAACTCAGTCAAAGTTTAAAATATTAAAGGTCTACGAGATCAGGGGCAAAGGTCTACGAGATCAGGGGCAAAGAAACAAAGAATGATTAGAAAATTAGGGTTTAATCCTTTCAGCTATGCAATGTTCTACAACTGTTCTAATCGATCCATCAAGAAAGACCAAAAACAATTCCCAGATCTCAAATTTTCTAATTCTTATATCTTCGCAACCTGATGGTGTAAACCTTTGATATTTCAAACTTAGTTAATTTGATCCAACAGAATTCATAGTTTGAAATATCTAAGGTCTACAGTAATGGGTTGCAAAGATATAGGGATTAGAAAATTCGAGTTTGTTGGAAAAGACTTAATTCCTTTATAACATCTTAATTTATCATTGTCCATTGTTACAGATTGATGAATTGGCTGGTAGGCCTATAGATCTGGTTGAATTCTCTCCTGATCATCCAACCACACTCCTAGTAGTACATGGAGCTAGAGATACATCAGATATCAGAACCTTTATCACAATCTGGAACATATCCCAGCCTTCCCAACCCTTATTCCTTCTCTCATCAACCTCCCTGGTAACCTCGGCCTGTTTCCAGTTTGATAAATCCTCCTTGATATTTGGAGGATGTGAGGACGGCCAGGTTCTTCTCTGGGATTTAAGGTACAGGCTTTTATGTGTTTTGCTTTTAAAGGGACTGTAAGTGTAATTTAAAGTGTTCTTCATGCTAAAATACTAGCAATGTTTAATTCCCAACAGTAACTTTGAAACATTTATCTGATCAGTGTAATGTGGAAGATTTAGTCGTTTTTCTAGGCTTAAACATGTTTAATTATGATAATTCCAATATGTTTCCCTGCAGAGTAGAAATGCGCGAGTCACTTTTGTAGAGAAATCACAGATGAAAATAATCAGTTTTATAAACAGGACTTCTAAATCATACTTGATCAGACAAAGCTAAAGGGTACCATTGTGAATCGAGCATTGACATCTTTATATGGAGAGTCACCAGAAATTACGCTTACAGATCCTTATAATTGTTGTTCAGCCATTTCGATATATCATTTGTGAAGAAATGTGATGATTTTAATTTTCAGAGAAGCTGGCGTTCTTCATCAGCAAGTAAAAGAAGCAGCTACCTTGGCTGACCTCTGGCGAGCTCCAACCTTTACAAACTGTGATACACACAGCTCAATAGTAACCGCAGTCAAACCTTTACCTGACGAAGGCCAGGGAGCAGCGAGAGGAAAGTATGCCGCGTTCACTGTTGTATCCGTTGAGCATCAAGGAAAACTGGTTATTTGGACAGTGCTGGACTCACAGCGCGACTTTGAGACAAATTTGGGGTTGGCGCATTGGGGACAGGTGAGGATGGTGGCAACTACAATTATAGATCTGGCAACCATTATCCATACTGAGATAGAACCAGGACAAGAGGTTCATGGATACGATATAGGAGTAGATCCAGAGGACAGTTCTCATCTCATGGTAGCATCTGATGACGGGATGATCATTCATGGATCAACGCAACCCGATCATCGTCCCAACCCTAGAATTTTCAAATCTGAGATTGACACCTTGTCAGCTTGTAAATCAATATCCTTCTGTCCATTTGATGAATCCTATCTGATAATAGGTTCAGACGACGGATCCATCCGTCTTCATAACACTGTTAATGAGAAACCGTTAATCACTTGGTCTGGAACTGTGGATAATGAACCCATTCAAAAAGTTATTTGGTCTCCGTCCCGTCCTTGTGTCTTCTTTCTCCTAGATACAGCGAATAGGTAAAAAAAAATTAGCCAAGGAATTAAGTTTTTGCCACATACTCAAATATACGAATCCTTATATCTTTGAAAACTCATGGTGTAAATCATTGATATGTAAAACTTCTATTATTTGATTAAACAGAACTCATAGTTTGCAATAAGCTCTACGAAATTGGATTGAAAAGTTATGGGATTAGAAAATAGAGTTTGTGACCAAAAACTCTAATCCTTTCTTTAAAAATGCTAATATTGAGTGGCCTGTAACAAATTGCATTATGAGGTCTTGTCTGTTGGAGACAATTTATATAAAATTCTTTTTACAGAAATAGAAATAAAAAGAACAATTTAATTGAGGTTTTTTATAAGCCTTTCGTTTAAGGATTTTTTAAGGTTAATTTTTTATTTTGTTTCTTTGCATTACCTAATATCATAAATTCAGTTCACATTAAACAAATTAATGATTCTGTTTGATTGACGCCTCTTTATTCAGAACAAAGAAACACTGAAGAGGGAAGATATATTATAATCTATTCTAGAAGTTATCTGCAGGATCTATATTCTAGAATTCATCTTTGGGATCTAGGAACTAGATATATATCCTATATCATAATCTATTCTAGAATTCATCTATAGGATCAAGGAGCTAGATATCTATCCTATATTATAATCTATTCTAGAATTCATCTATAGGATCTAGGAGCTAGATATCTATCCTATATTATAATCTATTCTAGAATTCATCTATGGGATCTAGGAGCTGGATATATATTATATATCCTATATTATAACCTATTCTAGAATTCATCTATAGGATCTAGGAGCTAGATATATATCCTATCTTATAATCTATTCTAGAATTCATCTATAGGATCTAGGAGCTAGATATATATATGCTATATTATAATCTATTCTAGAATTCATCTATAGGATCTAGATTCTAGAATTCATCTTTGGGATCTAGGAACTAGATATATATCCAATATCATCTATTCTAGAATTCATCTATAGGATCTAGGAGCTAGATATATATATGCTATATTATAATCTATTCTAGAATTCATCTATAGGATCTAGGAGCTGGATATATATCCTATATTATAATCTATTCTAGAATTCATCTATGGGATCTAGGAGCTAGATATATATCCTATATTATAATCTATTCTAGAATCCATCTACGGGATCTAGGAGCTAGATATATATCCTATATTATAATCTATTCTAGAATTCATCTATAGGATCTAGGAGCTAGATTTATATCCTATATTATAATCTATTCTAGAATTCATCTATGGGATCTAGGAGCTAGATATATATATCCTATGTTATAATCTATTCTAGAATCCATCTATGGGATCTAGGAGCTAGATATATATCATATATTATAATCTATTCTAGAATCCATCTATAGGATCTAGGAGCTAGATATATATCCTATATTATAATCTATTCTAGAATTCATCTATGGGATCTATAGGAGCTAGATATATATCCTATATAATAATCTATTCTAGAATTCATCTATGGGATCTAGGAGCTGGTGATATTTATCCTGCACACACAGTTCAGTTTGGTGACACTATTAATTCATTCAGGTTTCACATCTATATTTATGTAAAGTTGTAATCTCTGTTTGTATGTCTGTCTCTCCGTTTGTCTGTCCGATCATAACTCAGGAACCCTTTGATTGATAAGCCTCAAATATTGTAACTCGTATTTGTAAAATCGTAATTTACGACCAAGTGCTTGTAAACGGCGGGAGTAACTATGAGTACCCTGGGTAACGCTGACCAAGCTAGTTGAATATTGTGGCGATAATCGGAAACTTTTTTAATTACAAATATATAATCAGTGCAATTGCAGCCAATAACAAATCTCATCCCGAAAGTTCATTTTTTGTTTGATTTTAATTTTTGTGATTGTTTATACAAACCTTTCCCCCACCAGGCACTCTTATACTCCCGCCATTTTATATTTCAATTAAAAACATTAATTTCAATTAAGAATTAGTTTGGGTAATTTTTAAAAATCGTTCTGGTTCCATTTTCTAAACATCTAATAAATCTTTAAAAACTCTGCTTTAAATTTGAAAAAGATTTAACATTAAACATTGTTTTCAGAGGCGTATTCGTGAATTCGTCCAGGGGGGGCTTATATTTTTTTTTCTTTCCAGGGGGGCTCAGCACCTGTTAGGGCCTGAAAACCCCCTGAAATCAATAGATTTCACTGGTCCAGGGTGGCTTATCCCCCATAGTCCCCCCCCTGAATACGCCCCTGATTGTTCTGCATGTTGTACAAAGAGAAGATGCTTGCAGATAGCGCCACAATTTAAAGTTGAAATAGAAGATGGGACGAAGCTCTCTAAAAGTCAGTTAGTTCTATAAATGTACAGAATTTTGATGTTTTTCTTTTAATTGACATTTTTCAATTTCCACATTGTTTTGAAGTATTTCTGTCATGTTGTAACTAACGGATTAGGATTGTTATTTTTGTTTTTTAAAAGTTTATGGGAAGTTTGATAAATCAAGGTTATATATATATAAATATCAAGAAATGTGTGCAAGGAATCGTACAGTGTGTACACTGTACACTGTACAGTACGGTACGGGAGGGATGAACGCAGTACATGATACAAAAATCTCTGGAGCTCCTCGCCCTTTAGATAAAAGATTTCTATGGAGTACTTACATAACGTTACCCCTTAAAACCAACAATGATAAACTAAAACCTAAACCTAAAAAAATAAACCCTGAACTTACAATAATAAACTAAACCTTGAACCTACAATAATAAACTAAACCTTGAACCTACAATAATAAACTAAACCCTGAACCTACAATAATAAACTAAACCTTGAACCTACAATAATAAACTAAACCCGGAACCTGCAATAATAAACTAAACCTTGAACCTACAATAATAAATTAAACCCTGAACCTACAATAATAAACTAAACCCTGAACCTACAATAATAAACTAAACCCTGAACCTTCAATAATAAGCTAAACCCTGAACCTACAATAATAAGTTAAACCCTGAACCTACAATAATAAACTAAACCTTTACCCTACAATAATAAACTAAACCCTGAACCTACAGTAATAACCTAAACCCTGAACCTACAATAATAAACTAAACCTTGAACCTACAATAATAAACTAATCATTTAACCCACAATAATAATTTAAACTTTGAACCTAGAATAAACCTTTAACCTACCATAATAAACTAAACCTTAAACCTACAACAATAAAGTAAACCTTGAATACTAATCCTTTAACCTACAATAATAAACTAAACCTTTAACCTACCATAATAAACTAAACCGTTAACCTACCATAATAAACTAAACCTTAAACCTACAACAATAAACTAAACCTTGAATACTAAACCTTAAACCTACAATAATAAACTAAACCTTGAACCTACAATAATAAACTGAAAAGAAGATTCTGTGTCAGATTAATCTTCTGACAGAGTTAATCTCGGAAAATCCAAGAAGAACATTGACAGGATGGAAAATAAAAATCATTGAAATTCAAGAAGAATACTTGAAGGATAACATTTTTTTTGCGCGGAAAAACATATTAGCTAAAATTTTAAATGATGAGGAAATTTTAAGGATAATGATTAAAAGATGAAGAATTTTAAAAGCATTTTCAATATTACTTCATGAAACTCTACAAAAAATTTAGGGAAAAACATTTTTTCTACAGAACTCTTGTTAAGTCTATTTAAATTTGTCTTGACCATCCTTTTTTAAAGCATCTTTATTCACAATCCTTTTTGCAGATATCTTTATGAGTCTATCTAAATTTCTCTTGACTATCCTGGTTATACAATCCTTGATGAGTATTTTTAAATTTGTCTTGACTATCCTGTTTATACAATCCTTGACATGTCTCCTTGTCCTAGTTTGAGCTGCGAGACAGGAGAACCAGGCCAAAGACAGATGTTAGCTGTTGGAATAGAGGACGGCAGGTAGGAAATCATTTTTAGAGGATTGTTTAGAGGTCAAACTATACTTTACAGAGTTTGTTTAGAGGTCAAACTATACTTTACAAGGTTTGTTTAGTGGTCAAACTATACTTTACAAGGTTTGTTTAGAGGTCAAACTATACTTATCAAGGTTTATAGCTGCAAGGAAATAATTCTATTTCAGATTAAATCTAATTTGATATTATTCAAATCCATCATTTATTCCTTGTAATTTGATATTTTTGACACAAAACGATAATTAATCTTGATAATCTTTCCTAATCTTTAAAAGGAATAATAACAAACTCTAATTCTTTTCTTCTTCTTTCTTTCTCTTCCTCCTTCTTTCTCTTTCTTCTTCTTTCTTTCACTTTATTCTTCTTTCTTTCTCTCTCTTTCTTCTTCTTTCTTTCTCTTACTTCTTCTTCTTTCTTTATCTTTCTTCTTCTTTCTTTCTCTTTCTTCTTCTTTCTTCTTTCTCTTCCTTCTTCTTTCTTTCTCTTCTCCTTCTTTATTGTTCTTCCTTCTCCTTTCTTTCTTAGCCTTCTTCTTTCTTTCTTTTTCTTCTTCTTTATTTCTATGCCTTCTTCTTCTTTCTTTCTCTTCCTTCTTCTTTCTTTCTTTTACTTCTTCTTCTTTCTTCTTCTTCTTTCTTTCTCTTCCTTCTTCTTTCTTTCTCTTCATTCTACTTTCGTTCTCTTCTTTCTACTTCTTTCTTTCTCTTTCTTCTCTGTTCTTTTACTTTTTCTTCTTTCTTTCTCTTCCTTCTCCTTTCTCTTGCTATTATTCTTTCTTTTTTTTCCTTCTTCTTTTTCTTTCTCTTCCTTCTAAATTCCTATTTTTGAGTTTGGTTTGGTTAGAATATTGCCGGCTATTCTTGATTTAGATTTAATTAGAATATTGCCGGCTATTCTTGAGTATGGTTTGGTTAGAATATTGCTGGCTATTCTTGAGTTAGATTTGGTTACAATATTGCCGGCAATTCTTGAGTTTGGTTTGGTTAGATTATTGCTGGCTATTCTTGAGTTTGGTTTGGTTAGAATATTGCCGGCTATTCTTGAGTTAGATTTGGTTAGAATATTGCTGGCTATTCTTGAGTTTGATATGGTTAGGATATTGCTGGCTGTTCTTGAGTTTGGTTTGGTTAGAATATTATAAAAAATATCTTTTTTATTTTCTTCGCAAAACTCAACTAGTTTTCTTTTACAGAAGATAACTCTGTCATAGATATATGATATATTGATAAGCTCACATATATCTATATATCCTATATCCTATAGGTATGAATATTGAATATATGATGTGTAATATGCACAATAGATAGATAATATATATTTTCAATATTATTCATAATTCATGGCAGTCAATGAATGTTTATTCACATTTATACATTAACGCGGTAAATTTTGCCATTAAATGTTTTATAAAAGGCAAACCTTTTTTTTGTATACATTAAAAAATAACAATGAAAGTTTCATAGATTTTTCTGTTTTCATATTGGTGGATTTCCAAAATTTCTGACTTTAAATAATGTTGTTGATAAGCTTTCTTTGGAGTCATTTGATGTTTTACAAAAAATCTAACTTAATTGGCTCAGCCTTTTGTTTGGAAGTTTATTGGATTCAAACAGGCATGCCAAATACTATACAACATAAACAATTATGATTTTTCAAAGCAATAATGAAATGGATATATGATCTTAATAATAAAGTTAAAATAAACACATTATAGGATCAAAATCCAGCTTTGTCTGGGGGAAAAAATAATCTTTAAAAAGTCAACCTACTCAAATTAAACTTCTTAGTCAATGAGGCAAATGATAGATTGAAAGATATAAATTAAAATTTGTAGAATGACTTACATAAAAAACACGATTCATTTTTTTTTTGATATTTTTGACCTGAAAATTCGAAAATGAAATTATATTAAATAAATATTTTAACATTGTCCCCTTTTATGATACATTTAATTTTTTAGTCCCAAAATTTGTTTTCAAAGTCACCTTGTAATTAAATATATATTTAGGGTTGAAATCCTGCATTTGAAAACTGAATATCGAGCAGAGGATGACGAGAGCTGTGAACATGAATTAGATCGGTTTCTGCATTACGTTTCTATCATTTAACTTAATATCACAAATATATTTTAATTAAAATAATTTAATTTATTTTAATATATAATAAATAAATGAAGTCTGGAGGATTTTTTGCATTTTATTTCTATTTTTAAAGTTTTCATCACAAATATATTTATTAATGAAATTTCTTTTAATATCTAAAAATGAAATGAGCATTATGTCCCTATCATTTAACTTAATATCACAAATATGTTAATTAATATTATTTTAATTTAAATATCTAATATCTAAATAAAGTTGAGAATGAAATAAAAATGAAATTAGCTGTATTAGCAGAGATTTGGTGTGAAAATGTAAATCCTAAAATCTAAAATCTTTCTTGGAAAAATATTGCAATTAATAAATCTAGATTAACAAAGGTTCCCTTTTAAATCTCTGACTGGTAAGGGATGAGATGATATTTCCTTATTTATCTAGCTTAAAGTTGATTTTTTTCAAACTGTGATTTCTCTATAAAAGTGTTTGGCAAAAGAACACAAATCTGAATTCTGTAATTACATAACAGTGGTTTGGATCAAGAGCACAACTAAACATTAAACAAGAGGGGGGCAAAGGTAAAATTTTTTTTTGCCCCTATCTTAACATTTCTGGGGGGGGGGGGGTAAGAAAAATGTGTATTATACTCGGCCAGGAAAAAAACTACCTTACCAATTCAGGATAATTTCGGGGAAAATCTTTATATTTGGGGCAAATTAGTGTGGGAAAAATCTTAAGCTTTATTTCAGGGGAAAATTTTATTTTTGGATGGCAATTTTTTTAGTTTGGGGAAATCTTATCTTTTTTATTTAAAGGCATTTTTAAAATATATGAAGGGGCATTTTTTTAAAACTTTCAAGGGTTATTTATTGTTGGGGGCAAAACATCTTAATATTTTCAGCAAATTAAAAATATTCTAAAAAACTAAGGGTTACAAATGTTGAAAAAAGGGGTCAAACTTAAGTCTGGTGCAGTGGGGCAATTTGAATAAAAATGTGTGAGTGTAATTTTAAAAATCCCAATTTGGGGGCATTTTTTAAAGAAAGGGGCAATAATAAAAAGAATCTAAGATTATATTGAAAAATGTTTTAGAGGAATTTGAGTTTTCCTAAAGAGTGTAGGGAGGGAGGGGGTGCAAAGGCGCCATGATCCCCGCAAAAATTACCTCCGAGCCTCAGGATTTGCAGAATTACCTCCAGGCCCCGCAAAACTGATCTCCCAGCCTCAGTGACGTCACCAAGCCTCCCGCCATTCTGTCTCCTCGCCCCGCATTTTGGCTCCAATAAAAAATATTTGGCTTTTATTTCCACCAAGAACCTTTTTTTAAAAAATTCTCAACATGATGAAATAGTTCAGAATGATACATTAACATTTTGTATTATAAAGTGAATTTTAATTGAGATTAAAGGCTTGTATTTTGTTTTTCTAAATTTCACAAATTCCTTAAATTGTGAAGAACTATTGCAGTTTTGTATAAAGATAGAAAAATTTTATATTATTTTAGGATCATATATACGAATCAAACAATATAAGCAGCAATTTACAAAACAAGGTAGTTTTTGTGAAATCCTTGTATTTGTGATTTTATCGTATTCTTTAGAAAATATTGAAGAACTGTTTTTTTAAAAATTGAAACAAAGAATTAAAATAATCTAAATATCTATTACATGCTATACTAACAGGTTAGGGCAGCTTCGTGTCATATCTTAAATAGTTTTTCTTAGCGGAGACCAAAATGCGGGGCGTGGAGACAGAATGGCGGGAGGCTTGGTGACGTCACTGAGGCTGGGAGACCAGTTTTGCGGGGCCTGGAGGTAATTCTGCAAATCCTGAGGTTCGGAGGTCATTTTTGCGGGGATCATGGCGCCTCTACACCCCCTCCCTCGTGTAGGTTTAAAAAAATTACAGGGGGGGCATTGGGCAAGCCTTCTTAATGGGGCATCTCCCCTCAATCAGGCGCCTGGTTTAGATATCTTGAGCACTTTCTAAACACTTTAAACTTTAAAGACACACTATAGAGTCTAATCACCATGCAAGTTGCAAGTGAAACTTATTCATTTATTCAAACATGTAACTAAAGCCAACAAAAAAAGAAAGTTTTCTAAAAAAGTTACATTTTGTAATTCAAATTTAATATTATTTATATTTTAAAAATTCTAGATATAGTAAAATACATTTTTGAAAGTATAAACTATAGTGAATTTCTAAAGTAATTTTTTTATTGTTCTTTACTTTCAAAAATGAAAAAGTTGTTTATCTCAACCTTTTAAGGGGTAGGGATCCTCCCCCCCCCCATCTTCAGAAGTCTAGTGGGTGCCATTTTCCTCCTGCATAAACCCATCTCCCCGCCCACGCCCCTTCTCATTTGGATTCTCATTTGAACTACTGCCGTTTGAACTGTACATTTGAACTATTGTTCGTTTGAACTATTGTTCATTTGAACTACTGACATACGTCATATCCTGTAGTTTAAATCAACACATTTCTTGCTCATTTGAACTATTTTTCTACCCCAATTCAGTTTTAAAATTTTTTTTTTATAATTCCCATAAAATTACATAGTTCATGACAATTAATTAGATAACCACATTACACAGAAATGTTTCAAATATAAACATAAAAATAGTTTAAATTAACAAAAGAAATAGTTCAAATGAACATAAAAATAGTTCAAATGAACATAAAAATAGTTCAAATGAAATAGTTCAAATGAAAAAAAGAATAGTTCAAATGAATTTAAAAATTATAGTTCAAATGAAAAGAAATAGTTAAAATGGACATAAAAATAGTTCAAATGAACATGAAAATAGTTCAAATGAACATAAAAATGTTCAAATAAAATATAGTTCAAATGAAAAAAAATTGAAATGAACTAAAATATATAGTTTTAAATGAAAAAAAAATAGTTCAAATGAAAATTAAACAAACAAAAAATCAAATAAAATTGTTAAAAAACATATAAATAGTTCAAATCAAATGTGATTTACTCCTACTCCCGGCGTGATTTTACCCGGCCCCTTTATCTGTCACCGATCCCACAGGCCTGCGGGCCCCCAAGGCCCCCTCCCCTAATCACTTTAGCTGATCCACAGCTGATTACAATCCACTAATACGGCCACTAATGGCAGTCAGTTATAGATACAAATAGTCCTAAACTTGCTTTCACAATTTTTTTTTCCATTCTTAATGATGCTTTAGACTTAGCCTTTCCGGAAGTACAGGTTTCCACTAATAAAAACAAGGTTCCCTTGAACCCCTGGATGACGAAAGGTTTACTAATATCTAGAAAAAGAAAGGAGAGATTATTGTCAAAGAAAATATCTAAACCTACTCCTGAAAATGAGTCAAAGTACAGAGAGTACAATAAATTGTACACTTGTGTACTTCGTAGTTCAAGGTCTTCATATTACAAGAATAGATTTAAAACATACAATAATGATATTAAGAAAACATGGAGCACAATTAATTCAGTTATAGGGAGGGAGAAGGATCAGGCAATGTACATACCGAATTATTTTATGCATAATGGAAGTAGAATAGATGGAGAAATGAATGTGGCTCAAGGGTTTAATAAATTGTTTACTCAAGTTGGGCCAGATTTATCTAATAATATCCCTGACTCTAAAAAACATTTCACTGATTATTTAAATGAAGAGTGCAGAGAAAACTTTGTTTTTGCAAATATAACAGAGGATATTATTATTAAGTCTACATCTGATTTAAAATCTAAGTCTAGTTCTGGTCCAGATTGCTTTTAAGCTTTTAAAGGAAATAATATTAGATATAGCTAAACCCCTGAGTCACGTGTTTAATCTTTCATTTAAAACGGGTTTTATCCCTGTGGAACTTAAAACAGCTAAGGTTATACCAATCTTCAAATCAGGCGACCCCCATAATTTTAACAATTATCGACCAATATCCTTATTATCAACCTTTAGCAAATTATTAGAAAACTAAACAAAAGCCCTCGTACGCCCCTGCATCCTGTCATGCACTTTCTGGATAAAATATACGCTGCTCTAAATAAACCAGTTCCTGAATACACCCTAGGTATTTTTATTGATTTAAAGAAAGCTTTTGATACCTGTGATCATAATATAATCTTAAGCAAGCTATCGCACTTTGGATTTCGAGGGGTCGCAAACACTTGGTTTAAAAATTATCTTCAAAATAGAAAACAGTTTACAGTCATAAATGGTGTCAGGTCGACCCTTGACGACATTCTTACAGGAGTTCCACAGGGTTCTGTGTTGGAACCCTTACTTTTCTTGATTCTAATCAATGACCTTCCGAATGTCTCCAGCATTATATTAAGTATTCTGTTTGCAGATAATACAACCCTGCAATTCTCTTCAAATAGTTTAAAGATTCTATATTCAACTGCAAACACTGAGCTTGTTAAGATATCTGACTGGTTCAGAGCTAATAAACTTACTCTTAATGTATCTAAAACCAAATATATTTTATTCAGAAACCAAGATATGAAAGTAGATTTTAGCAACCTAGAACTCAGTATAGATTCTGGTAAAATAGACAGAATAGGAAAAGATTGCGATGAAAAATATTTTAAGTTTGTTGGTGTTTACTTAGATGAGCATTTGTCTTGGGACCACCATATAAATGCTATTCGTTCTAAACTATCCTGTACAAACTTTGCAATTTCAAAAATAAAACGCATTGTTCCAGAAAAAGTAAAATTATATGTTTACAATAGTTTATTTAAATCCCAAATTAGTTACTGTCTGGAAGTATGGGGGGGAGTAAGTTCCTCTAAACTTAGACCAATTTTTATGATACAAAAAAAATGCATAAGAAATATTGTTTGCGAAACCTTTAAAGCTCATACTGGAGCTATTTTTAAAAAATTAGAAATTTTGAAAGTGCCCGATCTTGTCAAATTTAATTCACTTTGTTTTATGTATAAATATGATAGAGGGAATATTCCATCTTCCTTTGAACACTTTTTCACTCCTTTCAGTCGAGAAAACCGTTCTAAATAGTATATTCTGAATGTACCATTAAAAAAGAAGTTGGATTCTTTTCCTAGCTATACTCTTCCAAAAACATGGAATAACCTTAGT